GTTCACGATGACGAGGTCCCCGCGATAGAATCAACCCAACCGCCTATTGAGCCCACAACCCGTTCCGCACCCGAAATCAATGAGCCCGCACCTACCACTGCAGCGGAACATACGAACAAGTCACCACCTGATGAAGCCGAAACCTCTAAACTGAAGTCCCCGGAAGACGAAGCGAAGGCTCCTACTACTATCCACTTGCAACCATCTCCTGACATCAAGGAAGTGTCCCCGGAACCGATCGAGCCGCATGCCGAGAAATAAGACAATCATTCTGTTGATGTCTACTCGATCATTATAATAGTAATAAGGGAACAACCTATTTCCCCCTGTTCCCATTCTGTATGTAAGCCTCCCGCTTTATGTCACGACAGGCTTTTTTTTCTATTTCTCCCTTTCGGGGAGACCCCCCTCTCACCCATGCTCATCTATCATCGAGAGCTCCTGATACCCGAAGAGGACACAAATAATGCCTGTATATATGACGACGCATGCCATCTATCTCAAATGTCGTGTATACTCTGTCTCATCATGTGAACTGATACATAGTCATAGCATAGTAGCTAGATAACGCTCATAGTGTTTTGATACCAATCATACATAATATTCGCATCAAATATCTACTCACTAGTTCTTGATAGTATAGTCTAATATTAATGAAGGGCTGTCTTTCAACATATTATGAAATATTCCAATTTTTACTAATTACTGAGATCGCTGCTCAGCCCAGTCTCAAATCGGAGGTTCAGTTTAGATGAACTTAGATGAAGGAATATGATGAGAAAGTGAAAAGTGGGATCCAGTCTAATTGTATATCTGGGTTGTCATTTGTCGTAGCAGCGCTGTGAAGAAAGAAAAAAACACAACGTTTCCCATCCGCCGCTCCTCGATGTGCCATTGGGACAATATGAGTCAAGATAGAAGAAGACTAATGTAAAAATAAGGAAGCTACCGCGCTAACAGGACATTTGAGATGATGGTTGATGTGGTGTTGTGTTCTTGATCCAGGATGAGGGGATTGAACCGCCAGATGAAAGGAAAGGATGAGGAAAGGGAATGGAGAACTCGGGCTGTATGGCGATCACGCGATGTAAGCGATCTCATCACCGTCCAGCCGCTCTATATAATCCTTCTCCATGAGTGCTTCGATGTTCTTCTTGATGTCCGGGACCTTGGGAGGGAAACGCGACTTGACCTGTTGAATCACTTCTTGGACAAGTTGCACGTGCTTCATCTTCTTGCGGGATTTCATGATACGGACAATGGCGGACTGTGTTATACACATGTTAGCGACATGGAAATTCTTCCAATATGGCATATTTGCAAGGGACATACCTGAAGCAGCAGCTTCCGATCCTCCTCAATCGTCTTGTGCGTATCATCAGACTCAACCTTCTGCTCAGACTTGATCTGGATGTTGAGGTTGACCTTGATCTTCTTGTTCTTGAAGTTATAGTTCAGGGAGAAGGATGTACCAGGTTCTGGCTTCGACCCCTCCGGATTTATGATGAGCACCTTGGCCTTCAGGAAGATACTCAGGTTCGGGTCAAGGATCTCGGGAGCAAGGGATGTGGCTTTCTGGATTTCCTCGTAGGACAGAGTGTCATGTTCGTTGAACAGTAAGAGAATACCCATCTGGAAGGTCGACACCTGGAACGTGTACGGAACCTTGGTGTTTTTGATGTAGTTGGTCTTGATTTCACCTTTGCATAGCTGCCAGAGCCATGTCAACTTACGACCGTTATGCTTGTCAAAGTAGAAACTCTGGAACCGTTCAGCAGTCTTGACGATTTCCGGTGGCGCGAGGAAGTCAGTCGAAGGCGCACTAAGGGGCCAGAATCCAGTTCCCAGGATCTGGAAGTGTGAGTCCACCAGTTTCCTCCGATCGTCATCGTCGAGAATCTTCTCCTGCCAGTCTCTGTAGCTGGCGTTAAGATCCTTCGAAATCTGAATGTCTTGGAACATGCGCTGCAGCTTGTTGGTGTACTCGAATCCGCACGCCTCCTTAAGCTTGCTAATCATACTGGTCTCTGCATCGTCAGAGACCGAGCTGACGTGGACGAGACGTTTAGCCAGCATCTTGGAGTAGAACTTCTGGAAAACATCCTTGTCTTCAATGTACTTGAAGACAGTCATGATCTGCACCAGCATTTCTTCGAGCTCAGACTCCTCCGCTGCCTTGGAGCCCTTCTTGAGCAGTGAATCTGTGTACCGGGCCAGCAATTCCGGGGTCTTTGTTGAACCAGATTTGCAGATCTTATTGCGGTTTACAAATTCACGGCAAGCATTATCTAGAGACCGGACGAACTCCGACTCGCCGTTGAAGGCTTCGCTTACCAGACTCTGATACCGGGTGTGCACCTGCAACAGAGCATCGACGTAGAGCTTGGGCTCAAAGGATTCGCCATCCGCGGCAACCTTTTCCACGGCAGCCAAGCCTGCCTTTCTGACGTGGGCTTCAAACTTGGTGCGGAGAGGGTCCAGGCCGTCTTTAATGCGAGACAAGAGTCTGTACATCCGGGCTAGATCTTCTTGGCGTTCATTATCCAACAACACTTGGAACTCGTCCCGCAAGAGTTCGGAGTGTGCGGTAACAAGCACATCCAGGCACGTGTCAGTGAGGTGCTTAGAGATATCCGGGTGCAGATACAAGCCCACGCGCGCCTTCTCTTCGTCCAGACGAGCCTCCGCCTTCTTCATGTACTCAACAACACTGTTCTCTGCGACAAACTGGCGTGATTCATTCTCGTAATAGACCCTGGTGGCATCAATGAAGGGCTTCTCGAAGTAATACCGATAGACCTCCAAGGTGGATTTGCTAGAGTCGCTTTCGTCCAAGCCAAGGGAGACGAAGGAGTCAACAATGCTCTTGATCTGAGACTGCTCGATGGTTTCGCCGTTCCTCTGCTTCTCGACCAAGTTGAGCACTGCTTCCATGACCTTCTCATGGACCTTCATGAAGAAGTCATCCTTCCACTTGACCAAGTGCAAGGTATACACATCGTATACATTCTTCTTGCCTTCGTCAATCTCCCGCTTGACCCAGTGACGGTTCAAATATTTGAAAAGATGGTTGATGTACTTAGCCGCCGTCGTGTAACGGAGCCACTCTCGGATGTAAAATCCTAGCAGGGCCTCTTCCGCATGACCCTCGGACTCCTGGTATACCGCGTCAAGGTGACGAGAAAGGTACTCCCCGAGCAACTTGTACAGTTCCTCTCCTAGTAGGTGTGCTGGTGATGCCGTCAGCTGTGGAGTTCTGAGACTCAAGAATTTGTGTGGTTGTGACCGACCGCCATGATGCGCTTTTATGTTTTGGCTGCTGCCGATGGCCTTTTGTGACGTGCAAAAGTTATGGACGGCGCTTGTTTCTGCAGGTTAGCCAATACATGGGGGCAGGAGACGCCTCGGAACCAGGACATACGTGTACAACGCCATGTACTAGAACAACGAAGATGATATGTCAGCACACCATCCAGCTCGGCAGATAATGATGGTCCTGCCGGGGAAGCCAGGAAAAGAAATTTGAACAGCATACAGTTTTCATATCCACACCTTCCTCCAACTTGAGCATCACGCTGTCGATGCCCTTCTCTAGGAACGTCCATCTGCGCACCGTCAGCCAAGGTCCCGACCAAAGCCGCTATATGATTCCTTCTGACAAGAGCGGCCGCCCAGCTTTAAAGGACTCACGTTTCATCCAAATCATCCTTGTGAGGGATTTGGGGGATAAGGGCAGGCATTCTGCGAGCTATGGATAGTCGAGTTCGGGCCTTGAGCACAGGTCTATGGAGTAAACGAGACAGCATTAGCTTATGCGAATTTGAGACGACTCCTTTTGAGGAGTTGTCAAGGCGGAGGAAGGTTCTCGTTATGGGACGAAACAATGGACAAGGAGACGATAGCGACCAGGCACAAAGACATGTGAGGATGAAAGGGAACACGGAACTTACCTCAACGTCTCAAGGATAAAATGAGTGACCGCACGATGAGCGGTGGGCGGCTAAGCTTTAAGGCAGCGATGATGAGTCTAAATATCAGCTTCAGGACCTCAGCCTAGCATTTAAGGCAGAAGAGAAGCTGGCGCGCTGTGGGAGACGACCCAAGGAGCCACGAGGATTGCACTGCAAATGCCCGGAACTACTAGAGTAGGTAGTGACGCGCCTTGGGGGAGAGAGAGTGGGGAGGGTAGAAAAGCGAAGGCGGGAGGAGATATGATTTGAGCAAAGGAAGCAGAAAGAGGGCGTGGCGGTTGGGCGGAAGAACTAAGATGGGGGGGGAGAATGATGATGGCTGGTGGTTGGTGGTTAGTTTAGTTTGGCGGTTACTAAGTAACTTGGTTGGAGGTTCCTCCAACAGAGGGGGGGGATTGCTCGCTGTTTGCGGTAGGCGGTCAAGCCCTCTCGATCTAGATTTAGATTCCCCAGGCCGCCCTGCTGATGATCGGAACTAGTACAGAGTCCTGTGAATAGTCTTTCTTTAATTTTAATTATTTCAGGGTTTGCTCCAGGTCTCTTCAGCATCGTGTTACACTGTGCACCTCCAGCTTTATATCTCCCCAAGATCTTCCCCAAACTGTATCCTTAACACCCTTTGGGTAGGCTGGCACGGGACCCGACCCTTGGGATCAACCGCTACGTAACCGCCTACCTTTTTTCTGACCCTCCCAAAAATGTTCATCTGTCACACAGCCAATGTCGATCTGACTGGACACATCCTCCGCCGTTGGAGAGAAGACGTATCTAAGATCTCCTGGCATCAATGACACGTTGGATGCGAGACAATCAGCTCATTGCGTGACGAAATGCTAACTGTCATGCATTCTTCGTCCCCTCACAGGGGCAAGCAGTACTAATGACGTCACACATACTCTCATTACGGATGAACTGATCTTTAATTTAAACCCTTAAGAAAAATGAACCACCACAACTCCGATTCCATTAGCACTAATATATAGAAAGAAAAAAACAAGAACGAATGGCCGTGTTGACACTCGATCAATCATGTCGTTCTCTCCTCCTTCAGAAATTTCCGTGACATCTCGCCAGATCCCCAAATGGGGTGGTATCCCCAACACCTCGATCCGGTCTAAACCACTCATGATCTACCACAAAGCTTTTAACGCGTCCGCTAACGATTTCGCGGCGCACCTGGAGGAAATTGGCGAGGTCAGACCACAGTGGGTCTATTCCATGTACAGTCAAACGCACTTTCACAGCACCACTCACGAGGTGCTGGGGGTGGTTTCCGGCCGTGCACGGCTTTGCTTCGGTGGGGAAGCGAACCCCGAACGCTTCGAGCCGACCGTCGAAAAAGGAGATCTGATTATCGTGCCCGCCGGCGTCGGCCACCGGCTGCTGGAGGAGCTCGGCTCTGACCAGGGTGACCCTTTCCAGATGGTTGGCGCTTATCCGCCCAAGAAACAATGGGATATGTGCTATGGTGACTCAAGGGAGGAAGACAAGGTTTCGCGGAATATCCATTCCTTAAGTTGGTTCCACAGCGACCCCTTGTGTGGGCAGGATGGGCCTGTGCTGCACGTCTGAAGGATTCCTTGGGATAGATTTTCGAGCGATAACAGCGGCCGTGGATTCTTTACCATCAAGATTTCATATGTACATAATGTTCTTATCGTATATGCACAGTGATCGTGTAATCCAAAAAAAAGAAATCAGATTTTCCCTTTCCGACCCAATGCTTTGAAACTCCAACCGACCACCACGACAAACATAAAATCCATAACTAAGCTCGCGAAGCAAGGATATAGCGCCAAGTAAAGCAAACGGGGGAATGAGAAGAAGAAATTGAAGGAGGTTGAAAGGGGTAAGCCAAGAAAGGAGTAAAAAGAGAACTACCGGAAAAGCAATTCGGGGTATTAATGTGGTGGAAGGGGGGGGTAGAAAATTGCCCCAGAGGGACTATAATAGAGAGATGAATAAGGGGGTTGGGGGTATATGGTAGAGCTGCACTTCATGAAGCAACTCGTTCGACAAGTCTAAATCGAAGCTGTCAGTATCGTCATTCGTGTAACTTGGTAGACTCTCGTACCTGAGGACACTGATAGAAAAGGTGGTGAGCCAGGCTAGCAGCGCAATCAGCAGCACACAAGCCAAGGCGATCTGCCGGTCGCATATTGCGTCGTTTTTCGGCGCAACTTCTTGGTTGACTTCAGCCATTGTGCATGCGCCTCTCACGGTCGAGAGTGACTCAAACGCCAAACTGAGATTGGCTGAGTCGAACACAATGAAAAAGATGTCTAGAAGAATGAGTCGCGCCTTGGCGGAGGGAGAGCGAAGACCCAACGGCTTGGATGTGTATTCATCAAATGTAATGTAAACGAGGTAAACCAAGGCAACCGCATCGACGATAATCGCCATTAGTGCAGAGGGGCCTTGGGGATGCTGGTACTTCCCCGAGAGATGCTGGATAGAGCCTCCAAGAGCCAATGCAGTGAGGGAAAAGCACCATACCGTAAGTCGAAAGATCAAGGGAACCATAGGGCTCTTGAGAAGCGTACTGTGGAAGCGCTTGAACCAAATTTCTCGTCGTCGTCTCATCCTCAAGGGGTCTTCGGTATCTTCATCCGGTTCGCCCTCGCCTCGCCAAGGTTCAGAATAATCACCGAGATTCTCATTCAACCAGTCCGGCGTGACGGATTTCTCCTCAACTCCTTGTTCTCGAGGGTAAGCGATGTCCCTGGAAAAATTCTTCCAGCGCGACTCGCGCTCTCGTCCGATGACACCCCTGCTACTTTCACCCTGTCCACTCGAAAGGGTAGGTCTTGATGCTGCATAAGGCGAATGATTGTGCTGGGCGACAACGGCTTCTCCTGGCTGTGATGGAAGTAGCCTATCTGTGACAGCAGCATCTACATCGTCCTCGGTATACTCGACTGAACGGATCCATGCTATACAGATCATCGATGGTTAGTTGACTTAATCCGGTGGATCCGAGATCGATCAGGATACAAGGGGAAACTCACCTGGTAAAGTCCGAGGTTTCTTCCCCATTGCCGGAATGTTGTCGAATTCGCCCACGACTGTACTCTCTGGCGAACGTGAGTGTCCAGCCGAGTAGTCTACTGCATCATGTGGGTGAACGATATCATTGTCGCTGTGGAGCGCGCCAGTAGAATGGTTCGATTGCGCCGACATCCACTCGGTAGCGGATGGTTGCTCCGACAGCTGTTCGTCAGAGAGCGGAGCGGCATCTGGAGGCTGCAAATGTGAGTTGCGCACATCTTGTGCCATTGCCGTACAGTTCAGCGGTGGTTCCAGGCGAAGGTGCGTCGGCGGGTCGGAAGCTGGGGGCAAGCCGCGGATCTAGTCTGCATCGCCTCAATGTCCCTCGGAAGATTAGCGGGCACCGGGCTTGACTGAAATTTGGGAAGCCTTGGCCCTTGGGAGAGATAGGATCATCGAGAGAACAGTCAAGATGGGTGAAACAAAGCGACAATGAACTGAGATCAGACGTCGCAGAAGGAGGGGAAAAGAGAGCGAAAGGCTGGGAGGCTGGTTTCAAGAAATTTGGATGATGGAAGCCTACGTAGTAATTCGTCCGGGCTGTAATCTTAGCTTGGAGGAGCTAAACCCCCAACCGGTTAGCTGCGTAACTTACAGCCAGGTACAATCAGTACTTACCATACCGTACAGCCTGCAGTCACGAATCTCCATATTGTCGGCAGTTGCAGTGTCATGCATACCGTCACAACAGTAAGCTGAATGACGTCTGAGATGCAACTAAGCAAAGCATCATCCATCATCACCGCCGCGCCGCCAATTAATGGTCCGGCAACCTCCACGCATCCATCTCCGCTACACCCATTCATTCCCTGATATCAATTCAGAAAACGGTAACAACTACGACTCGAAAAGCCAATTCAGGCCCCGTGACCTTCGCACACCCTCATCAGACAGGAAAGGCATGCCACTTCCATCTACGCCCTTGAATCGGTTATTTTCTCTAGTCGATCGCTAGCTCTCCCTGGCTGCCTCCCAAATTTGCCCAAATCAGCCATTGTCGCTGATCCTTGGAAACACGCCACGGCACTCATAATAATATCACAGAACGGATCCCTTCCTCAGTTGCTATGCGACTCTTCGTCATCCCTATCTCGACGCGACAAGCTCTAATCTACGCTCGACCCCTCCGCCGTGGTCCGTCGCAAAAGCCTTCGATACATGACCGGGTCATACAAAAGGCTGCAGAAACATGGGCGAAATGGGAGGAGGCCGATAAGGGCTGGAAGAAGCATTTGGTCTCCTGGGGTAATCGGGTGCAGCAACGCATCCCGTATCAAGAATGGGGTCTGAAAAGTATCCCATCTCTCGCAGCGGTGCGGCGACTTGATGAATCCTATGGGACCAAGAAAGTGGATGTACTATTCCCGGGGAATGCCATTCGGCCGGAAAAGCTACAAAAGATGCTGCAAGCAATTGCGACGGAAAGGCAGGACTTGCATCGCCGAAGGATGTGGTTGAGCTTGCTTGCGACGCCCTTGACCGCTCCCGTTGGGCTTATTCCTCTGTATGGAGCCCTTCTGATTTACCCCGATTTGAGTGGCTTGGTTGACCCGTATATGCTAATCACATAACCATACCTACAATATAGTGTGCCTAATGTCCCTTTCTTCTACCTCGTGTACCGAGCATGGTCCCATGGACGAGGTTGGCTTATCCCCCACTTCTTTCCCACTCAAGACAGTTCGTGAACTGACCACTCCAAGCACTTAACGGCTCCAAACACTTAGAGTTTCTTCTAGAGAAGAATCTCCTGAATCCGATATCATACCCTGGGCTCGAAGAACTGTACGCGAAGCGCGTATCTTACGCACTGGAAAATACTGGGGTGGACAAACCCATTGCGGAGATGGTAGAAGAAGTGGAGAAGAGTGATGACAGGTTACTTCTCCGCATGACAGATGCGAAGAAACTAGCCTCGATACTCGAGGCACCGGATCTTGCGCTGGAAGCTGAGCGAGCCATCATACAAGTGGAGGAAAAGCTGAAGGCTGATGCGAAGAAAGATGCTGAGGATGGGGCCTCTGAAAAGAAAGATACATGAGCAAAGGGGATAATTATGGGAAGGATTCCTACACGGCAACCATCATGGCCCGTGGCTGCCCCAGGTCTTCCGAGGACAAGTCAGTACATAGTGTTTGTAAATGGTGCATGGCGAATGGAGCTTGGAAGCACACGCCCAGTTAGAGTGATAGGAAGTATCTAGACATATTGCAAAATAATGGAAATCACGCGACTCCCTAAGCACTCCATAGCTATGAATCTTGAAGCTATCCAGAAACTATCTATCTAAGATAAAGTCGATTATCTAGAGCAGTACCTGGACGGAACTAACTTGTTCCGGTAATCCCAGCGGAGCCATTGCGGGACGCCCGAACCGGATGACGCCCAGCAATCCAGCCAAACAACTTCCCCCCATTTATTCCCCCCATCCTGTTCACTTCATTCATTCTTGCCTCCTGTCTCCCATTGCTCGGTGTCCTGCTAAGTCCCCAAGTCGACAAGCGACTCTGCCTCCAATCATGTCAACCAAGAAGATCGAGCAGTGGGAAATCGAACGGTACTGGGAGATCTTCGCATCGCTGGCAGGCGGCCAGCCGCGTTTGAACAACTCCCAAGCGGCCTCGGTACTCAGGAACAGTCGGCTTCGTGATGACCAACTGGAAAAGGTCTGGGATCTGGCAGATGTTGATGGTGATGGCGAACTAGACTTTGAGGAGTTCTGTGTTGCCATGCGATTGGTGTTCGACCTTGTCAATGGGGTATGTGAGCTCCCTAACTGCGGCGCCTCCCGGTCCTCCTGGTGCTGCATGTCTCCTTTCCCGCCCGCTTCTGCAGTCCAATGCTCCCCCCACTCCATTACGTTCCATGCTAATATATCCAATCCGCAAAGGAATTACAAGCAGTGCCAAACGTTCTGCCTGATTGGCTCGTTCCCGAATCTAAAGCTCATTTAGTCCATGCGACCCGGGCCCTGAGCGGTCGTCCGGAGCAATTCGAACGGATAGAAGACGAGGATGACACTCCCGGCCTAAAAGATGGCTTCGAATGGTACATGAACCCATCCGATAAGTCTAAATACGAAGAAATCTATCTCGCGAACAAGAACCACCGCGGGGAAATCTCCTGTATGTCCGAATCCAAGCCTCCCCCCCCCCACCCCGACTTCAATCTCCTGGGCCATGAAATTGACATGATGCGGGTCTTGTATAGTCGAATCGCTACAGCCTCTTTACGACTCCCTTGACGTCCCAGACACGGACATCCGCTCTGCGTGGAACCTAGTCAACCCTTCTGCTTCCCCGACCATCAACAAAGACGCTACGCTTGCATTCTTGCATATGCTTAACTACCGCCACGAGGGCTTCCGCATTCCCCGCGCCATTCCTGCATCCCTGCGCGCTTCGTTCGAGAACAACCAGATCGACTACCAAGTCGACAATGCCCGTCCCGCCCAGAAATGGGGCGCAAGCGGCGATACGGAGACCCTCACGGGCAAGAAAGCCAAGTTCGGAGATACCTACTTGAGTCGACTGGGTGCCGGAGGAAAGACATCCTATACACCCAAGGGCACGGATTTCAGCGACACCATCCAGGATGAAGAGTGGGAGAAGGTCCGGTTGAGGCGCGAGCTGGCAGAGATCGAGTCCAAGCTGGATTCCGCTAGAAAGGCCTCCGAAGGACGACGCGATCGACCTCGGAACGACGGCCGGCCCAACTGGGTGTTGATCAAGAAAGAAGCACTCCAGCTGCTGGAGTACAAGGAGAGGGAGCTGCGGGAGCTGCGTGAAGGCGCGGGCCGATCCAAAGACGGCCAGAACGTAGAACGTCTCAGAGATGATGTCAAGACCGTTGGCGAGCAAGTCGAAGGTTTGAAGAGCCATCTGGCGCAACGGAGGGAGGTGCTCTCTGATCTGCGGGCACAGGTCGAAGAGGCAAAGTTGTCCCGGTAATCATCTAATCTATTCCTCGTTCGACTTGCCTTTCCCTTTTCTTGCTTCGTTTTCTTGAATATACTTCTCACCTGGGTTGCTTCTGGTATTTTCTTCGTGCCGTGGGGGTTTTTACGCTCACGAGCTTTGCTATTGTGTTGTTGTCGTTGTATAGCCATTTTCTTGGCGAGGAGCATCAGGCGCTTAATGGATTGATTCGTGTCTCGTGTGCTTTATTTTCATGCATGCTTCGCTTCCACTAGAGGTGTGATTTGTTCCAACTCATTTGAGTCCTCAGTTTGGACCTTGCTTTCGCATTACCCACCCGCCTATTACTCCTCTTCCGTTTCCAGTCACCCCCTCTATCTAATGTACAGTACATAACAAGAACGCCCTATAGGCCTAGCCTAGGTCCCGCTTTCCCTGGCCTGACGCCCACCCCATAGTAAGTAGTCTTAATGATTGATTATGGGCACAATCCGCCTAAACGCCCGCCTTGATGAGGAATAAACAAAAAGAAAAACGAGAACCAAAAGAAGGAAGGGTAAAGAAATATTACTTCCCAATAATCTGCGCCATTAAACCATCACCATCCCTCTTCGTCTCGACAGCCATGAAGGCCCGTCCAGTAGTATCCAATCCCTTCTCAGCACGAGCATACGCCTCCTCACTGCGATCCGTCAAGATATCCAAATCCTTCTGGGAAAGCAAAGTGGCCGGGTCCGCTCCAGCCTCAAAACTCTCATATTCATCCTGCCCCAGCGCCTTCTTCAAATCATCAACATCATTGGAGCTAAGTCCACCAGAGTCCAACAGACTCCGGAACTTGCCTTTCTGAATAACCAACCGTTCGAGACGACGCTTCGAGTCCGCTTTCTCGAGCAGCGTCTGCTCCACAGTTCCCTTTGTCGCGAGGCGATAGACAATGACCGGTTTCGTTTGCCCGATTCGGTGGGCGCGGTCTTGCGCCTGCAGATCCTGCTGCGGATTCCAGTCGGAGTCGAAGAGGATGACGGTGTCGGCAGCCATGAGGTTGATTCCTTGGCCACCGGCGCGGGTGCTGAGGAGGAAGAGCTTGTAATTTTTGTCGGTGTTGAAGGCTTTGATTTGCGCGCGGCGATCTTCTTGGCTGACGGCGCCGTCGATGCGGCAGCAGTTCCAGGAGCGGAGTTGCGTGGCCCAGTCTTGGAGGATGTCGAGCTGGGTTTTGAATTGGGAGAAGATGAGGATTTTGTGGCCCTTCCTGAGAAGGCAGGGGACTAGTCGGTCTAGGAGGAGCATTTTGCCCGAGGCTGTGACGAGGGTTTCGTCGATGGAGGTTGGATCGTCCATCCATGGCCAGTAGAAGTTATGTGGGGAGTTGCAGGCAAGTCGGGCTTGCATGATGGGGTTTTGCATCTTCTTTTGAGCGATTTCTTTCTCTAAGAGGTGGGAAGGAGATGTTAGTTTTCCGATGTAGGATGAGGGCAGGGATACGGAGGTGCTTACTGGCAAGCCGGATGGTTTTGGCTCTCTCTTGCTCCTCCTGTTCTGTCTCGCTGGGTTGTTCAGCGATGTCCAGATCTTCTTCTAAGCCTTGCTCGAGTCTGCGAAGTCTAGAGTTGAATTCGCGGTCGCTCAGCTCCTTGTAGCTCGACACCTTGCCGCGTCTGCGGGAGGTGGGCAATGCTGCACTGGCTGGTGTGGATGAGCGGCTAGATTTGAGACTCTTGTTCGGTGATGAAGCTTCGCTGGTATCAGCGCTGCGTTTCAGGCTCTGAGATCGTGACGGCCTTCCACTCTTAGCCATGAGACGTTCCGTGGCTTTTTCCTCGAGGTACTGGCGACCAGTGCCGTTGAGAATCTCACGATAAAGGTCTTTCTGTTCTGCTGTCAACGGCGCATATAGGATGTACTCCCGCTTCTTGGGAAGGGACGTCTCAACATCGGTCTTCACACGTCTGAGGAGGAAAGGCTTCAAGATCGAGTGCATCGTGGAGACCAGCGTGCGCTTTCGACGTTCCATGACATCCGTCTGACCATTGTTGTCCAGCATGGACGAGAAGTCAAACCAACCCTGGAAGCTGTTGAGATCATTGAAGATCTCAGGTAAGAGGAAGTGCAGTAGTGACCAAAGTTCTGTGATGTTGTTCTGTAACGGTGTGCCCGTGATGAGGAGCCTGTTGGCCGAGTTGTAGGTGAGCAATTCCTTGATCAGTTTGCAGTTCATGTTCTTCAAGCGATGTCCTTCATCCTGCAGACATGTTAGAGAATCGGATCATCTCAATGGTCATGCGATGGGGGAGCAGAACATACCACAATGATATACCGCCACTGATATTGCGCGAGGAACTTTCGATCGTTCATGCAGATTTCATAGGAAGTGCAGACGACAGGAAAATCCGCACTCCTCTGGTCCTTCATGTTCATGAACTTCCTCCTTAATGTTGCACGTTCATCCCTTGTCCCATGGTACAAGACGGTCTTAATTCCAGGCGTCCACTTTGCAAACTCGTCCACCCAATTGCTCACCGTGCTCAAGGGAGCAGCAATCAGGAAAGGGCCAGAGACATTCTTCTCCTTAAAGAAAGCGATTAGTGAGATAGCCTGAACGGTCTTCCCAAGGCCCATCTCATCGGCCAGAATGCCACATAGTCCATTCATCCACAGCGACTTAAGCCACTCCAGTCCCTCCAATTGATACTTCTTCATCTTCCCTCCCGTCACCAACTCCGGTTGCTGGGTAGCAACCAGTTCCTGACCACCCAATGCCGTTGGATTCGCTTCATACTCATCTGCAGCATGCTCCAAAGCTTCCTGAACCGTCGGCTTATCCTCATCGACCTTCACATCCGCCTTCTTGAAGTAGCTGGAGATGGTGTTGCCATTCGCAGCCGCAGAAGCAGGCTTCCTTCCCCGGCCTCTCCTGGTCTTAGTGGTTTCCTGTTCTTCCTCCTTCTTCCCTTCTTCAGCGGCAGCTTCCGTTGTGGTGGCAGCGGACTGCCTTGCACTCGTGCGTGTCTGTCGCCGTCCAACCGGCTCGCTAGCACCCTTGGGTTTGGTTTCAGTCTTTTTCCCTTGCTGTTGCTGCTTGGCTGCTTCAAGTCTCGCCTCTTCCTGCTGTTTCTTCATTTTATCCGCCATGATCGCAACGAAGACCTATCAAGAGAGAGCGAACTCATCAGCAATAGTTCTGCGCCACCCAAATCCCTTCCAACCCCAGGATCGAACAATCGCACCTCACTGGTGTTAAGAAGATGCATCAGCGCCTTCGCCTTCACATCCATCCCCTCAATATCCTCCGATAAATCCATCTTATCCTGCGGCGTGGTCTTCTGGTCTTGGTCGGGTCCATCTGTCATCGGCGTGGACGCCTGCGAAGAGCCTGATCGTGGGGCGAATTCATCAAGGGAATCGGTCCCGGTGATGGGAGTATCTGGATTCGACATCTTCCCACTTCGATTTTTCGTCTTTCACGGATATCGCTTATAGGGTCTGTCGTTCAGCTAAATATTCCTTCTGCGCGGTCAAATGTCGCAATTGCCTCCCACAGCGGGATACCGGAGCAGAGGGAACTTGTCCGATTGCAGATTCACTAAAAAGGCTTGCGGTGAGTCCTTATCTCCCAGATGTCCTGCAACTCCGTTAAACAAGAGGCGATAAAGATGCCCTGTAATTGGGACCAGAGCATCAACACTGGGCAGGCAGCCTGCACACATGACGGACGGGCGGCGCGCCTTTGTTCTCCCACGCGGATTTTCGCGTCAGTGCACGGACCATCTCTAAATGGGTTTTTGCCTTTCACATGAACAACCGCTTCTTCCTCTTCCTCACTAAGACACACCCTACTTGATACAGGACTGCAAATACTGCAAACGATGTTATATGGTCCAGGTACTTGTGGATCTCACTGATCATCCTGATAATGAATTATGATTGAATAATGCATCGTGGTGCTGCTATAATCAAAGCCAGTGCTGCAGGACCCGGAAAGGACCGTATATCTGTGGATTATCCCCCGACATATAAACCACCATCATCATCATCATCATCATGCATGGCTGTGTTCAGTGCAAGTTGCCAGCTTTCAAGGCGCAGCTAAATTACCCTGTATCCTCTATCGGGCCCCAGTGACACCTTTGTTGTCTTGCAACGGAACATACCAAGCATCTTTGTCTCGATGCAAGAAAGATATTCACGCCATGGTGCTGACGTCCTTCGATGCCCTTTGCTAAGCCTTTATGTCGCTTCTCTTAGGAGGGGTTTACACTTGTCACTCCCTAGGATAGGAGTGTTGAAGTCTCCTTTGTATAAAATGGAAGCTCTGGATCAACTATCAGGGATATTCCATATTGCACTTCATGTCAACATGATTGCCCCTTTGATATGTCTCTGCATTGAATGAGAGTTTCCTACTAATCCAATGGAGTCCATTAGGGACCTTCCATTCAATATTGTATACCCCGTACAAAGAACTCCTGTGGGTTATGATAACTGAGCTTCCTCGACATATGCATGCTACAACATATAAAAGGCAAGGGGACAACACTGGGTCTTTCAATTACCTGCTCGCTCATTTCAGTACAGGCCCCGCTGGATTCAAGCTAAGCAAGAAACAACAACTCTCTCGCAAGATATACCTCGCTCAGGCATCATGGATCGATTGCCTCCCGAACTGCATGTAAAAATTGGCCGATATCTCTGGATCGATGAGTTATACCAGCTGGTTCTCGTCTCGAAATTCTGCTATTCCACTTTCACCCCGGAGCTTTACCGCGAGTTTCAACTTCAAGGAGTATACCGGCTGTGGGAACCCGATTTCCACATGGACGAGGATGGCCCTCCTGCCCGATGCCTCCCTTATGCCATCATTGAAAACCCAGATCTTGCTGGTTTCGTTCGGTCGCTACAGTTGGTCCCATTCATATATCCGGGTTCTCCAAAGATTGAGCTGTCTAGAGTTCTTCAGGAAACAGGACGGGGAGACTTCTTGCACTCTCATCCGCTGACCAGACAGATGATCCTGCGTTGGCATAATGAACTTGAATCCGACCCAAAACTCGATTCCTGCCAGTCCCTGAGGAATCCCTGGTTCGCTCTGCTATTGCTTCAGCTGAAGTATCTGCAAGATCTTTATGTTTTCTTGCCATGCGATGAGCACGGGCATGGCCAAAAAGGCCCCGCTCCCACGCCACATTTTGACGAAGTCATCTCCTGGGCAGCAAACCCTGAATCAGGGATCCTCACCCGCTTGACACATCTCACACTTGAAGAATCTCAAGCACGTTTTGACTATAAACCGCCAGGTATATCCGTGATCCGCCTGATTCCATTTCTCGAAATCTCTTCCTTAAGACATATTCGTGTTACGCGGATTGCCGATCAAAACGAACAAGCTCTCCCTCGCAAGTTCAACAGCAAAGTAACCCATCTTGACGTCAAACAGTGCGATAAAACCTTCACTCAATTACCGCAGCTGCTCATGGGGTGTTCAGAGCTCGAATCCTTCACATGGACGCTTGAGGAGTCAACACACCACCTATTCAGGCGTCCGCACCGCCCTGGCTTTCACTGGGAACCCAACCGCGCATATGATGCCATTTACCAACTCCGCTCCACGCTGCGACACCTTAGTATAAAATCTCACGTATGCCGTGGCGACCTCTACCTTCATCACGATGTGGAGTATCCCCAGCCAGCATACTTCGGGTCCTTATGTGACTTTCCTGTCCTAGAAACCCTACAAATGCGGATGGTTAATCTACTGCCTTTTCAACCCGGCACTCGTGTCCCGACTTCTCCTCTGTGGAAAATTCTCCCAAGTTCGCTGCGGTTCCTCTCCATAGACGGTTGCCTTATGCAGACATCTAATATGCTGTGCGATGAGCTGGAGGACTTGGCAGCACATTGCCAGACACATCTCCCTCAGCTAGAAAAGGTGCACATTGCGTATTCCCATTATGAGAAGATAAATGGGCAACAATGTCTAGCCTGTGAAGGCCCGGGTTCTGTCATGTCGTACAAAAAAGTTAAGGCAGACCCGGCGATCGTTGCGCGGCTTCGGGCATTGGGAGTCAAATTTAATAAGCAAGGGGTAAGGCTCCGCCCCTTCGGTAAGTTCAAGGACGGGAAATATGTCGATGATGCTAACCGGTGGTGGTACTAAGTATTATGAAGAGTTGTTGAACAGGGCTTGTGATTATGGTCAGTGTCTTAACTTCAATATCACTTTGCTTTTTTTTAGGTTTACGTTTACTATAATCATATTATGGATCGGCTGTATTAGGCAGATGTGCATCAGCCTCTGTGCTGAACACCGATAAGTTTGATTTGAACTAGTCAAAGTTAAAGTATCAGAAGGCAAAATAAATAGTGATTTGAATTATCAAGCAAGGCCCTCTTACATAAATCTTAATATAACATTGAATGCATGTATTTGACTTGGCTGTATACAATAGTGTACTGTATGAAATAAAAGTTAGATACATAACTTTGCAATACTCCTGTGCATAGATACATATTGATGCAATGGCGAGTCCAAGCTTCCTTCCCTCTTTTCATAGTTTCTCGGCATCGATAAATCACAGGCTATGCTAACCAGCAGAATCTTGATACTAATACAGTGGTTTCGTGAAATGCTTTTCTCTGTCATGGTGTGTGTGTGTGTGTGTGTGTGTGATCTTCATACTATCCCCATGTCCTCAAACTCCAAGAGGTATATAAACTAGAACTTTGTAAAATCCAACTCGGACTGTTCACGACAAAACGCACTGCGCCCTCTCTTCAAAAACTTCCCGTAGCCCTTCTGACCTACAATACCCCCGTTATCCCGATCCCAGACGACCTCCCCACGCAGCAGGGTGTATCGCGGCCACTGGGTTACCATGTGCCCTTCATACGGTGTATAGTCCACATTATGATGTAAAGCGGAATTCGTAATAGGGAATGGTTCCAGAGCAGATGGATACCAGATCGTGAGATCCGCATCGGAGATACCCGGGATAATGGAGCCTTTCTGCGGATATAGTCCGTACATTTTGGCCGGGTTGGTGCTCGCGACCTCAACGAACTTCTGAGGAGTGAGACGATTGGAGTTCCAGACCAAAGGAAGACGTGTTTCAACTCCCGGGCAGCCGTTGGGAACATTTCGGAAGCGGCCTAGGGGTACGTCGTCCTTCATGGCTATCTTTTTTCCGTTGACATCGTCGTCGTAGACGTATGGGCTATGATCAGAGGAGAGGATTGTAAATGTTCCATTTTGCAACCCTGTCCAGATGCTTTCCAGGTCGTTCTCACCCTCGCGGGGTGGGGGTGAGCATATGCATTTGGCGCCCTCGAAGCCGAGCTTGTCGAGGTCTTTCCTGGTCAGAAACAAATACTGTGGACATGTCTCAGCGAAAATAGGCCATCCGTTGGTCTGCGCGCCGCGAATCGTGTTGGCGGCTAGCGGCGAGGAAACATGGACGATCAAGATTGGTGTTTGGATAAATTGGCTCAGGGATATGGCTCGGCTGGTAGCTTCACACTCCAGGATTTGAGGCCGCGAAGCGGCATGATATTTCGGTTCAAGTAACTGGCGACTTTCGAGTTGCTCAGTCATCCAGGTGAGCATGTCGCCGTTTTCAGCATGGATAAGTACGGTTACTCCATCTTTGCGGCCCTGCATCAAGACATCCATAACCTGACCGTCACGTAGCTGCATAGATTCGTAGGTCATGAATACTTTGGCTGAGGACACGCCACGTTCGCGAAGAATGGAAAATTCGTCGAGAACCTCTCTGTTTGGGTTGGATATCATAAGGTGGAGAGCATAATCACAGTATGTAGCATTTTCGGCTTTCTTTTGCGCTGTTTCCAGCGCCTTGACTAAGGATGGATCAGACTTATCCTGAGGAGCAAATGCGATGATGCTTGTTGTGCCACCAGCAATAGCAGAGCGGCTTCCTGTCGTGAAAGTATCGGACGTTTGACCCTGGCCTCGCGGTTCGGCCAAGTGGACATGCGCATCAATGCCGCCTGGCTGATAGTGACGTGTCAGTGATTGAGACCATTACTGTACTTTCTGTATAAATGAAACTTACCATAACATATGCACCCTCGGCGTCAATAACTCGAGAAGAGCGAGCTATGGCCAGGGACCGCGCAGGAGCAAGTATAGCAATCTTCCCATCTTTGATGCCAATATCATACCGACCAACATCAGCGGCCGTAACAACGGTGCCATCTAGCACAACACAGTCAAATGAAGTAGTGAGCATTCTAGGTGCCAGTGCAGCTGTTTTGCCTTAACAACTCTTTAGGGAGTGGACTAAGGTATTGAGATCGTGGAGAAGCAGCAGAATTCCCTTGTTTAGGGTGCAGTGCTTCATCGTTCTAGGCAGGATGAACGCGACACCATCAACGAAACCGGCAAACAATTGCCAGACCTTCAACGTAAACCACACCACACGAACTCGATAGATCTACTTATCTCCAGACTGATCAGTAGGGGATGAGCTTACCCACTATCGACCCCGGTTTCTCGGGGCTTTAAAACGCCTTTATAAGGCATCCCAATAGTATCCAAAACCCTGAAAGTTTATCGCCAGATCAAACCCCGAATTAAATCATGGGTGCTAGTGGCTGTCAGATCCTAGGTCGAGAGACTCCAGCGTACGTAGACAACCACTGTTGTCGGATAAACAAGTCATCCAGCCGAGCAAAACAGGTTTAACGCCAATTACAGATGGTATCCCCATAGCTTAGACCATCGTCATGTGGCGTCGTGGTGATTAAGGTTATCGTTTCGAGTACCATCAACCTTCTTGTGGATACAAATACCTTCGTACACACACTTACATGGCTCTGATCACCTAGTCATCTGGACCTTGCAGGTCGGTATTATGTACTTTCGGCAAGCCTGCCGGAAAGCGAACCCACAGAAAAGGGCACAGCCAGCTTATCGACACAACTGTGACACAACCGGTAAGGAACCTCTGGTGTTTCAAGGGCTCTGATAGACACTCGATTCCAGGGGCGATTGTGCCATTTTTGGTAGCATCTCGCCTCTCCTGGCAAGCTAATTTCATGGTGCAATACCCCTCCCACAAGCCTCGAATGGTTATCCTCCTTTCGGTCTCGATAGCACTGGGTACTAGATGACTTCCTTGGCTGCCTAAGCTTTAGGTAGTGCTAGGCTCAGTTGGAGGCCTGCTGTCAGCTCAGCGCTTCGAAGTAGCTGCTCTTGTAGACCGCATCCCTCACCTGATGCCGATGGCCCGTTCATTTAGCTTGTAAGAGTGGGCCTTGGATGCCGGCTCAACGGCTTCTAATCGAGTAATGGTTCCACCTCAGCTCCTGCCTTTCGCGTATTAGATCCTTCGCCACTATAAACTTATTTGGTATGCTTTTCAATCGGGGAAGAGTTGGTTTTGTGCCGGGTATGTCCGTAATATAAACCTGGCAAGCTGAGGACTTGATCAACAGCCCTCTTCAAAATGGAGAGTTAATGGCATTACCCAATGAGCAAGGTTTGTCCCCAAGACGCACTTACCTGGAGTGCCTCGAGAGGCTGCTGACATGGGTCATGAATCTCAAACATGATGGGCTATAGGTCGCATACCTACATTGATGAGTTGGGGATTGCACAGATGAAAAAGTAAAGAGATGAGAAATGAGAAAGGAAAGATCCCGTGACTCGTAGATAGTATCACGCGACGTGTTCTGGCGTGGCCCTGCACACACCAAGTTTCACAAATAGATGCTGTTCCAATCTCTTGGCCTCGCGTACTTCTGGTGGCTTCTAGTTCTTGATCTTGCACTTAGATCGCAAGTAATTTTACTCTTGAAGGACTAAACCCGCTGGGAGTGGCTACAAACCTAAGAAAATCAGCAAATACAGAAACATCGGACAATGAAATTCAAAAGGTCTAGGTTGTATAATGCATCTCGGTTCCGTCTTTGGGGCCAGATATTCACTATGGTCGATATTACTCTTTGCTGCGTGCAAATTACATTTGATGATGAAGGAGCATTGACGAAAATATGGGCAAGGTAAACGGTAAGGAGTCTTCAACAACACAGTCTAATTCTCGCAATTTCTGGAATACTCGGTCAATCTGTTTCGGGTACCATTGCTCTAGGGACGGGCACTCTCGATCTTCTTCCCTAGTTTACGTCCTTACTAGAGTTTCTTGTGAGTGACTATACAGGTAGAAGTACCACCTCATCATAGTCGTTGTCATGGCTATCCTCGCTGCTGTCATCTCCGTCGCTCAGCTTTTTAGACGAATGCACTTTGTTCTCTTTGGAGACTAATGATTCGACTGGACGTTTCGGGGGGGTTCCCAGCCTCGATTCTTCAATTAGCACTTCGTGACCAGAATTCTGTGCGGTTGATTCTCTGAGGACCTTTCTTGCTTCCAGTGGGAACTGCGGTGCACTGGTTACATGCGGTGATTGTTTGTTCTCATCTGCGGGAAGACAATCGGGACTTGTGGTGGATACTGCTGTATTTGGGGTGGCTTTGGGGGTCCAAATTACGGGGCTCGAAGTTCTCCCTGATTCAGATAAGGTAGCATACGTGCTGCCACTGCTTGATCTGAGTGGAATCTCTTTGCGTACCTCTGATGCTGAACTTCCGTGTCGTGGGTCAGGCCTCGATGAAAAGGCGGTTTGGCCTGCACGCCTGTCAGTCATACTTCCACAAGGGAGCCTGGTTGGAGGAGCAAAGGCTGCATTCTGGGACCTCCTTGCGTCGAATTTGTTGCCGTGGGTATTATAAAATGTCCCAAGGATTGCTCGTGGCCCATTAAAAGACAGACTCGTCAGAGGCATCTCCCAAGGTCTCGATACCAGCTTGGGAATTCTCCATCTCGTATCGCAAACATGAGCAGCTTTCTCCGCGCCAACGCTCAGGCGACAGGGCTCACTCCCTCGAGGGTCATAATACACTACCTTGTGTCTGGGTTGAGAATCTTTGTTACATTGCCTGGGCTTGTTGAAACGGAATTGGTGTAGGTACTTGTTCCTTTCAGAGTTCGGGCAGTATTTGGCCATTTCATACGCCTGTATCGTGCAATTATCATCCGGGTCAGGCACATTAGCATTTTCGTCCCCTCGTGCTGAGAGTCCTGTTGCATCAAATTCTGCACAATCCACAAGGCGCTGCTGGGTCCTCTCGTCATC